GGTTACGTAAAGTGTCCTGCTGGGGCGCCCTTTCTGGACACCCATTTTTTCATTGAAACCTGCTCTGGTGACCCCGCGGAGGGGGGGGCTGTTCCTTCTCATCCTGGCTGGTGTTTGGGGGCACAGAAGCGACCAGTATAAAGGGGAGGAACCAACGCTGGATGCCAGGTCTTGAACTCTGGTTCCCCCTCTGCCGTTGGCTCCTGGTGTGACTGTGGGAGCTCCAGTATCCAGGAAGGAAGATACAGGCATTTTGGAAGGGACCATTGTTCATCGTGCGGGATTGTGCAAGGCAGGACATTTAGACCACCCAGCTCCTACCCACTGAGTGCCCGTACATCCCCAGTCTAGCGACCATCTAAAAACCCCATGTGCCTGTGCCTGTTGAGAACCATGGGCTGGCAATGCCCATTCTCTTGTCTCCGACCTTCTAACATTCTAGAGGAAATCGGTGTCTCTGATCTTCTCATCTCAGACAAACTTTTCTCCCCACCTTCCCACCTTGAGTCTCCTTATCCTGATTCTGCATCTTCACTGTCAGCCGTGGCCACCTCCAATCATCCAGCTTGGTGGGGTTGTCGCTCACTAATTTATTTTTACGCATTACGCTAACGATCCGGTTCATCAGCAAAAAGGTGCGATGACCTGCTTTTCCATCCCCAGACTCTTAGATGCTGGAGCTGGAGAAACGTGCGGATTAGTTTGTGACTGGGAAAGCAGTGCTGGGTGGGGTGCAAAACACCCAGTCGGGGGAGTCCCTGACATTTCGTCCCTAGAGTCCCCTGGGCTTCCAGCCTTTCCCTCCTAATCTTTTGCCCAAGTTAATGCTCCCTGATGAACCATTTTGCATGAGTAGTAGAAGCTAAAGACAGTTGGGATTTAGAAAGAGACACAGGTGGACTCAAGTCCCAGCTCTGGCCCCACTGCCCGTGTGACCTGGTGTAATTTTCCTAACTGCTCAGCCTCCTTGTTCTCAAAGACCTTAACGGAATAAATTGAGACAATGTCTGTATTTTCCTGGGACAGTAGATGCTCCAGAATGGTGGTTATTATTATTCCTATTGTCGTCAGCATCACCATTCCCTTCTCCCCTCAGTGGCTTCCTGCTGAATTAGGAGGTAATATGCAAACTCTTTTCACTAGTCTGGAGGTCTCTGTGACCCTCCTGTCCCTATTCGAGCAATCTGTCCCAAGCCACCCTGCATGCAGCCCAGCAGGCCCCCTCTGTTCCTGAACAAACCTGGTCTACGCCCCCAGCCCACAGTCAGGTTCAAAGCCATCACAAGGTTACAGGCTTTGCAGAACCTCAATTGCAAAATCACCTGTCACAACCTGGGATGAGGCCCACTCCCACCTTTCCCTTCCTAAGTGCTCTCACCTCCTGCTATGCTGGCACAATCCACTGGCTCAGGAGCCTGCTGCCTCCTCACCGCGAAGTCTGTGATGATCCAAAGTGCCAGGGAACGAGCACTGGGAGCCCCAAGTTCTCTCTCTAGTTCTGCGATTTACCGGCTTCATGATCATCAGTCACAGCGACCTTCTGTCTCGGGCTCCTTTGATCTTTGCTACCACCAGGTGCAGTTTCCTCATCTTCCTAAGCGAGTACCAAGGGCTGGGCGTGGCCCCCACCTTAGCAGAAAGCACACGGGAGCCTCTGGGTGGTCTAGACGTTTGCCCCAGCATTGGGGTGGGCCCACAGTGCTGTGGGGCTGATGTCTGGGACAGACACTCTTACTGACAGCCTGGACTCCTGGTCCCGTGCCCACTCGGGCCTCTCGTGTGTCCTCATCTTCCTGCTCACCTGTATTCCTGGCACTCTGAGAGCTCTGACCTCGGGTATAACGCCTCTTACTATCCAACTCTGGCAATGCCAAGAGAGACTTGGTGGACCCCGCTCCATCACAGGCTCTGGTTTGCTGTATGACAATATGATCACAGCCATTTAAAACACTCCACAAGACAACTGATAGTCCCACATCCAGGCTGAGTGCCAAGGAGGTGGATGTGACCAGCCCGCTGAGCACTAGTGCTATGGGTGCATTAGGGACAAGGTTGGGCACCTTGACACCTGATGGCTAAGACCCCGTCCCCTCCACTCCCTACCTCCTTATCATCTGGATCCTTTCTCAGAATGTTCCAGGGACAGTGATGTCTTCTGGGTCTTGAGTGCAATAGAAACAATCTGACTGTTGGCACGAGGATGTCACAGGCGCCATGGACCTACAGGTGCATGTACATAAACCATCTTGAGGAACACGTCAGTCCAGGGATGAGCCAAGGGACGGTGAAAGAACCACGAGTTTGAACCCTGGCTCTGCCCCTCAATGAGGGGGTAAGTATTCCGGAAGTATCCTACCAAGTCGGAGGCTGGAAGTCCACAGTCTGGAGTCAGTGAGCTGTTCTCTTCCCAGGACTCTAGGGAAGGAGCCTCCCTTGCCTCATCCAGCTCCCAGAGGCCCCAGGCATCCTTGGCTTGTGGCTGCATCTCTCCCATCTCTGCCTCCATCCACACACAGCCTCTCTTCTTTCTGTGTGTCTCTTGTCAGGGCGTTTGCCATTACATTTCAGCCCACTCAGGTCATTAGGGGTGATCTCATCTTAAGATCCTTAATTCTATCTGCAAAAGACCCTTTTTCAAATGGGGTCACATTCACAAGTTTCATGATTAGGAAGTGGATCTTTTTAGGAGACACCATTTGACCCACCATATTGAATGGCATTGGAAACATCACTTAGCCTCTTTGAGGCTCAATTTCTTCACCTGTGAAATGGGTATATTATGAGAATTAAAGTAAAAGTTGTCACGGCAGAAGCTCTAGTGGCATGAATTTTTAACCATGCAGAGTCCAACCCGGTGGCAGTGAGAATCTCATTGACAATTCCCTTGACCATGCCCACATCTGGCCATGTCTCGTTCCCACCCTGGTCTTCCTTCTCTGGCTCCCCAACTTTCCCTGTGTTCCTAAAACTCCTCGCACAATGTCTTTCATGTAGGAAGCACTCGCTGTATATGTTAAGTCCCCAGGGCAGGCTGGCTTTCCCTAAGGCCTCAGGACCATGAAGGAACTGGCAATAAGCATGTAGAGCCTCCATTGGTCCCCAGGGAAGAGTTTACAGCCCAGAGCCAGCCCTGCCACTCTACAGCTGTGTGACCTTAGCCAAATGTTGTAACTTCTCTGAGCCCCCAAATTCTTCATCTGAAGGCAAAGATGATGATGCCCATCTTGTCAGCCCGGCCCAGCCTCATGTGAAGATCAACTGGGAGGATGTGCATGTCCTTCTCTGCCTCCCCGCCATTCCTCAGGTTGAAGTCCAGCCCCCCGCCCCTCCTGGCAAGGGCTCCCTCACCCTGCCAGTGACCCGCCATCAGCCTGGCCCTGAGCGGGGATTGTGCAGGATGGGGGCTCATGACTGGAGATGTCACACCAAGGCACTAAGCCTGCCTCTCTGTTCAGAGACTCCCTGGTGCCATCAGGACCATCTGGACTGTGCAGAGAGAAGACCCATTGTCCTGGGAGGGGAGGAGAGGGGCGTGGCAGGGGCCTCTGGCTCCAAAGCACAAAAAGAACAAAGTGCTTTCAGGCCAGCGAGACCTCGGTGGGATCTGCACTCTCACTCTGTAGCCCTGAGAAAGACCCGTAAGTCCTCCGAACCGCAGTTTCCTCACCTGCACACAGAAACTCCTGATGCAAAGGCAGAGGACAAGAAGACTAACATTTATTAAGTGATTCCTGGATGTTTGCCCCCAGAGTTTGCCATATGTTTCCTCATCTGATTTGACAACTCTGTGCAGAATTCAGATGGGGAGAGCAAGGTTTAGACCTGTGAAGTGTCCAGTGCCAGCTACTAAGAGGGCTGGCATCTGAATTTGCCCCACACTGGTCTAGACCCGAAGCCTGAGCTGAGGTCACTGTTTCCATCAGCTCCCTGGCCCAGTGAGCACCCATTCTGCACCCCGGAGGGAAAAAACCCTCATTATGGAAGGAAAGGGCTTGAAGTTGACCTTAGAGTCCCTTTGCCTGGTGAGAGAATAGACAGCGGGGACATTGGCTCACATCACCTGCTACAACCACAGTGACCCCTGGGGTGGCTGAGGATCCAGTGGTCCACCACCCATTCTTCAGCCTTTGGTGGGGCCTGTCCCTTTGCCCTCTGACCTCTTGTGTGACCCCTTCTGCCTGCCTCTCCTCCCTTCCCACTTTCTGGTCCAGCACTAAGCAGCTGGAGATGGAGCTTTCTCCCCCATCCTGGCAGGTGTGTCCCCTTGGCAGATGCTGTGCCTGACAACTGCCTGATTTGACTCATCTCCTAAGCTCAGGTGCCGCTCACCCCAGGGGCCCCTCGTGGCTGCCTGGCCACATGCCATGCCCGGCAGTAACCCTGCATGCTGAATTAGGTCTCTGCACACACAGGCTACAGTCACCTGACTCCTAATGCTTCTCATAGACCAGGGTTGTCTTAAATGGGGTCAAAGCGAGCTTGGTGAGTATGTTGGTGCAGGGATAGGGAGGGGGTGTCTGAAGAGGCATTTTAGCTTCCTCCAGCCCATTCCCTCTCACCCCACATCCAAACTGGGACTGAAAAGGTCTGGGGTGCATATGGGGAGATGTTCGGGACACACGGGTTTTTTGTGAACACCTCCCAGCTGATCCCAGCTGAGGACTAGTCTCTCACCCTGACCTCACTTTGGGCAGGCAGCTGAGCTGTGTAGGGAGACCAGTGAACACCCCCTACCCACACAGTTCTGGGAAACCTATGTTTGCCTACTCTGGGGGGCTGGAGACTGGGAAGCCAACTCCAAAGAGTCCTTCTGGTGGAAACTGAGCTTGACTGGGGTGGTGTGGGAGGGATGTTGATATTGGGGACCCCCCAGTGAGAGCTGGTGGGGAGAAGGCCTGGAGGTGGAGCAAAGGAGTTACCTGCAGAGTCTGTCTGTTGTGCAAACATCTTCCTTAGGAGGATAACCTTTGGTGCTAAGATACTACACTCTCTTTTCTCAGGTGTGTGTCAGCATCCTGAGCTGGTGATAACTCCACTCCGTGACTCTCAGGCAGATTCAGCCGCCAGATCCCAGCAACATGACCCTTGCTGGTAGGTTCAAAACCCACTGTGTGTGGTGGGGCACTGTGGCATAGGATATCTTCCTACTCCCCCCTCATGTATGTCCTTATAGATCCAGGATGACAAAGGCTGGTAGGAGCACACAGAAGGTTTCAAGCAGGTTATCTCTAGTTGGCAGGAGGGGTCACAGGGTCGCAGCTGAATTCTTTTTTCTTTTCCTTTTGCTCATCTGTGTGTTTTTTTGAAGAAGTTTTTACAACTCTCATGGATTATTTTTGCGTTACTTATGCTGCCAGATTTGTAAAAGGAGGTGAGGGGAGAGCACTGCTGTGTGCCAGGGTCAGCTCCGTCTGCAGCCTGAGTGACCGGGGGTGTGTGTGTGAGGGGGGCTGCTGGGGGCACAGCCGGGCCAGGGTAGCTCTGGTAGCAGTGGTTGGAGGGGATACGCACAGCTGTGATTGATACCGGCCCCCCAGGAAGGCTCCAGCCTGAGGGAGGCTGGCCAGGCAAGAGGGATGGCTATGAGGATGCCCCTGGCCTATCCAGCGTAGCAACTCTGAGCAGCACTGCCAAGTGCATTGAGTGGGGTAGACCGTGAGTCTCCTGTGTGAAAACAAAAGGACTGGACTATCCTAGGGAAGGGGTGTGGGGTCGGAGGGCCCCTGGGCCTTAGGGTGTTTACATGAGGGCTTTTCACGTTTGGTGCCCTGAGAGGAGATGTCTTGGGCAGAAAGACGGGTCAGCAGAGTGCTCTGGTTTCAATAGGTGATAGGAGTGGGCCCTGCCCCTCCTGGGAATCCTGAAGAGGGTGACTCAGGGCACAGGGGCTGGTCCCAGTGTCGGTGTGAGTCTGCGTGGCTTGGGCACCTCTGCGGAGCCCAGATCCCCAGGTTGCTCAGGCCCCTGGGACGCTGCTCCAGAGGCTGGGGAGATCCCTGTGCTCACAGCTCCGTGTTTCCACAGCCTACAAAGAGAAGATGAAGGAGCTCCCGCTGGTGTCCCTGTTCTGCTCCTGCTTCCTAGCTGATCCCCTGAATAAGTCATCCCACAAATACGAAGGTCAGTGAAGGCTCAGGGACGAGGGGACAGGCTTCCGTGTCCCGGGCCTCTGGGTGCAGCACCCTGACTCAAGATCCTGAGCGGCTTTCCTTCCCAGAGCCGGTGACAGTCAGAGCCATGGTCCCCAAGGTCTGAGCCACAGGGGTGCATCCCAGGCACCGAGGACAGTCCCTGAAGGTCAGAGTCAGGCCTCCCAGGACGTGCCAGCCTTAGTCCACCTCTGTGCTTGTGTTTAACAAATCGAGGCTGCAGAGACGTGAAGGTGGACCAGGCAGAGATTCTGCCCCTGGACAGCATCTAGGCTAGAAAAGAAGCCAGTGGTGTGAGCCACGGTTTCCAGGCCACCAGGCCAGCCGCCTTCCTACTTCCCAGTTAAAGAAAGGGTGGGTGTGGTCTGGCACCAAGGGCCAGGAGCGCTCGCTCACCTGAGCCTGTTTTTTCATCTAGGCTGGTGTGGGAGACAGTGTAGGAGGAAAGACCAAGCCCAGCGGGAAGACAGTGCTGACTGGAGAGAGAGAAGAGCGCAGGGTAGGAGGGAGGCGGGAGGTGTCCGCAGCCAGGGCCAGCCGGGCAGTGGGGCGAGGGCGGGTGGGGGTAGAGGGCTCTGCTGTTCGTCCCCACACATGACAAGCTGAGCAAAAGCTCGGCAGTCTGAGGAACCTGGTAGCAGAAACAAAAGCCAAAGTGGCCAGCACTGCCGCGGCTGTCCTAGGCCCCTGAACCCCTGTGGCTGCAGAGCCCAGCCCTATCAGAGCCCCTTGACCTTAGGTGCCAGTGTGCAGGAAGGAGAGCCAGCCTGGCTCCTGGCTCACCTGGGCCTCCAGCCCCAGCCCCTGACACCCGCGTGCATGTGGCCACTCTCGCTGGGCGCTCCCCGTCCTCCAGGGCCTGAGCAGTCCCCGTTCTGCCCTCTGCAGCGGACACAGTGGACTTGAACTGGTGTGTCATTTCCGACATGGAGGTCATTGAGCTGAACAAATGTACCTCGGGCCAGTCCTTCGAAGTCATCCTGAAGCCGCCTTCCTTTGATGGGGTGCCCGAGTTCAACGCCTCGCTGCCCCGCCGGCGAGACCCTTCCCTGGAAGAGATCCAGAAGAAGCTGGAAGCGGCTGAGGAGCGAAGGAAGGTACCAGCCGCTCCTCTCGGCACAAGGGGAGGGGGCTGGGGAGGACAGGGGGTGGCCGGGCTGCGGGGAGGCCACTGTCAGCCCACAAACACTTAGGCAAAGAACAAGGTGGCAGGGGGGCATGGTACCGGGCTCCAGAAGCTGACGGTTTGGTTATGGGGACAGGCCACTGCACTCTGTACCCCCCACAAGTGGCCTTAAATGTACGAGCAAGAGTAAGATGTTGACAATACTGAGGATAGGGAAAGGCTGGACACTGGGGGAAGGGGGTCCTCCCCTGGGGCCCGGGGAGAAGGTGGCAGCGTGGCACGTCCAGCCCTGGTATGTGGTCTGGGCTTTCCATTCCCGGCCAGTCTCTGACGCCATCTTCGTGTAGACTCCTATCTCTCAAGCAGAACATTCTCCCGGCCTGAATCCCCCAGCACGTGCCCCCTGCCCATGTATGTCTCACGCTCCTCTGACTCTGAGTTTTAGTTTTATCTGTGTGTCTCATCTCTCTGTACTAGACCTTTCCCTCCCCAGCTTGCTAACGTGCCTGGTGCATAGAACAAGACCACTTAGTGTCTGGGAAGGCAGGAATGACTGAATGAGTTCAGCAATGAGAAAAGGGCCTTGAGGATATTTAGAAATAAGACTGAAAACAAAAAAAGAGGGCAAGAGACTCTGAAAGTGGTGGGCCGGAGTCTGGGCCCCAGGGCGGGGTGTGTTCTGGGGGTGCAGTTTTTCAGCCATTATGGTAAAATACACCTCGGCCTGTCCAGTCTGAAGGGCTCGCCCTGAAGGGCCTCTTTCTGCCTTGTGTGTCCCCAGTACCAGGAAGCCGAACTCCTGAAACACTTAGCAGAGAAACGGGAACATGAGCGGGAGGTGATCCAAAAAGCCATCGAGGAGAACAACAACTTTATCAAGATGGCTAAGGAAAAACTGGCCCAGAAGATGGAGTCCAACAAGGAAAACCGGGAAGCCCACCTGGCCGCCATGCTGGAACGGCTGCAAGAGAAGGTGAGTGGCCCCGGGCCAGAGAGGAGGCTCCCGGTCACCTGTGTTCCTGCGTGGCAAGTATACGTGGGCCTGTGTATCATTTCGGGGGGACGCAACCTTGGGCAGTAGCGGGGGTACGTCTATTAGGCAGGATCCTTAGAGAGGTCAAGGGGATGGTTTGGGAAGTCCAAGGTGAGGGACGTGGACCAAGCTCTGAGTTTCCTTGGGAGAAGCTCCACACAGTCACACAATAGGACACTTTCATCGTCTCAGGGAGGGTACGCCTCTAATTTTCTAGAAGAAGCCTGTTTAACGGAAGGGTGTAGGGACTGACATGCAGTCCTGTGTTCCTGGTTTTGCCCTGAATGGACTGATTCGATCTGATGAAAGATGCTGTCTTGAGCTCTTGGCTCTAATCCAAGGGTCCAGTGCTCCGAGTTGGCCATTGACAGGAAACATAATTCTCTCCAAGCCTCTTGGCAGAGACCGAGGGAGTCACACAGGTCTTTCCAATCTGCTGCCCTTTGTCAATAAACCTAACGGTGTCACCTAAATATGAGAAACCTGAGAGGCTGGGGTTGGTTCTGTGTCAGCAGAATGACAGCCCGCTCTGCTGAGAACATGCTGGCCTCATTTCCTGGGTCTCAAGACCGTCCCAGTTTCCCCTGCAGCTCCTGGGAGAGCTCCAGCTCTGTGTTTTATTTCCAGGAGCCGCCTGCTGCGCGGTGACTCCCGGGACCTGATCGGTGGCCTCGTCCCATGGTGAGCAGCGCGGTCCCCACTCTTCCCAGCCCGTCCACCTAGAGTCTCAGGCCCTGGGCAACAGCTACCAGAAAGGGCTGGTTTCTTCGCAGGGGCTCTGAGTGCTGCATAGGCCCCGGGCAACAGCTACTATGAGCTGCCCACAGATACATATGCAGGGGCAGCAGGACGCTCAGCCGGGCCTCCGTTGACTGTCACTTGGGAGGGAGCCATCCGGGTCTGCCTCCCGGCTTCTCCAGTTATTGAGGGAGGACTTGGAGCAAACTCCAGAAGAAAGATAAAAGTCTAGGGTTGGGATAAGATGGGACTTGAGCTCTCAGGCCAAACCCAGAACAAATCGTGGAGGTTGGACTCGTGATCATAGCATTCGAAAGGCAGTTGGCCAAACCCTTCCACTTCCTCACACCTCTATCCTCCTAAGTCCATGAGGCAAGCAGGGCGGGTATCACCCTTATCTTGAAGATGACAAAACCACATCAGAGAAGGTCTGTGATGTGCCCAGGGTCACAGCTAATGAGCAGTGGTGTTGGGACCGACACACAGCTCTCTGGCTGCAAGCCAGGTGGCTCAGGGAGACCAGCCACAATTGTCCTGCCAACATTTGTCATGGAGGGAGACTTGCAGGCCAAGGAAAGGGAGTGCAGAAATCTAGGGCTCTGCTCAGTAAGCTCACCTGATGGAAACATTGGGAGGGTCCCTCTTCTTGGGTCACAGCTGCACAGGTGAGGTAGACACCAAGAAGCCAGATGTCAGACTGGGCTTCGGAGAGAACATCCTCCCTCCGGGACTTTGATCCTGAGGCAGGAGGTGGGGTGAGAGCTAGGTGTTGATTTCTGCCCTGCACACCTGTGCACCAGGCTAGGGACACCTCCAGAAATGTGTTTGTGTGGGTCCCTGACAATCTGTACCAGACTCACTCATTGTAAAAGTCAGCAATACAGATACTTGATCCCGTATCTACCTGCCTCAGACCCACCCACCTGCTCTCCCGGGGTAGCACTGGCTCTGTCACAAAGGCACATACCCCTCCTCACTCCCAGGCTGTGGTGGGTTCTTGGGCCTCTCCAGGGACAGATGTGCAGTGTCACATGTATTCTGGGAACCCCGACTGCCTCCGTGGGCCTACTCTGGGCTGACTCTTTCATCTGAATGTGACAATGCCAGGCTCTAGTAGGGACTTTTATAAGCACCTGCCACGTGTAAGTCACAGTAGCAGGAATCGCAAAATACAAAGAAAGAGACATGGTGTCCTCCCAGGGGGACGTTGCCATCTAATGGAAGACCCAGCTGTGTGCACAGTAAGCAGGGAAAAAAGTCTCAGAACCCAAGAGGGGAAAGAGCTTCCCACCTGCACCCCTCTCTTTGAACCCCAGAGAGCAGAGGGCTGATTGGAGGAGGGAGCAGGCTGAGGTCCCATGGCTGGGGGGCCTTGGAGGGCTCCCCATCTTTTGGCTGCATTAAATGGTGAGACAAAAGAAGGCCATCTCACACTATGTGTAAGAAAGCTCTCCTGTGGCTCAGTGAGTAGGGCGCTGGCCCCATATACTGAGGGTAGTTCAAACCCAGTCCCAGCCAAACTGCAACAAAAAATAGCCAGGTGTTGTGGCAGGCACCTGTCATCTCAGCTGCTCAGGAGGCTGAGGCAGGAGAATTGCTTAAGCCCAAGAGCTGGAGGTTGCTGTGAGCTGTGACTCTACAGCACTCTATCAGGGTGATGAAGTGAGACTCTGTCTCTGAAAAAAAAAAAAAAAGAAAGCCCACCTTTTGGGAGTGGGAGACATTCCCAAAAATTCTGCTGTGAACTTGGACTTTAGGAGCGCTCATGGTCCATCAAGAGGAGCTCACCTGAGCAGCAGGCAGGCCCCTGGGACCAGCAAGGGAGCCTGGTGTGAGACCAGCTCTACTGCCCCTCTGGCAGAAGCCACCCTGAGCAATTCCTTTATTTATTATGTCAACCCATGAAATCAGCCCAAACTCCAGAATGGCCAAGGGACAGAGGGAGTCTGGGAGCTCTGGGGCCACCTGTGACTGGGTCCCGGGCCGGTGGCTGGGATGCCCTGGCCGGTGAGCTCCACCACGGCAGGCTTCCCGCCTGCCTCCTGCCTCTCACCGCGCCTTCCGCCCCTCTCAGGATACCTCTGCAGACACAGAGCTTCACTTTCCGCCGCGGTCAATCTTTGCTTTAGTGGCCTTGCTCCTGAGGCGGCAAGCTTTGTCCCCGGCAGCCTCGATGACCTGGCCTTTCCCTCCTTTCTTTCCCAGGACAAGCACGCCGAGGAGGTGCGGAAAAACAAGGAGCTGAAGGAAGAGGCCTCCAGGTAAAGCCCAGAGGCCAAAGAAGTTTCCAGAACAGCCGGACAGCGCCAGCAGCTCTGCGTTCCAGCAGCCTCGCCCGCCGGCTGCGCTCCCAGCACTGGGGTTTGGGGGGAGGGGGGTGGCCCAGGGGCGTTTCCTCTGCTTTTGATGTTTGTCCACGTAAAGAATTGACCAGTGAAGCCATCCTATTTGTTTCCGGGGAACAATGATGGGGTGGGAGAGGGGGAAGGAGAGAGTTTGGGAAAGAGAGAAGAGAGATGGAGACGAACTCGCTGACGGTGCAGCGCTGCTCAGAGCAGACGGGCCAGGCCCTCTGTTTTTCACACCTCTGCCTGGACACGGAGCATCCAGGTGCCATGTTGATGGAAGATGAGAGCCCGGGCAGCAAAGGTCCCGAGTGCAAGGCAGAGTCCCGGCTGGGGCGGTGGCTGCAGGGCCCCCAGGAGGAGCCCAGCCTGAGGGGGGCGAGGCCCAGCCCAGCCGTGTGGCTTCCGTCCTGCAGTGGGTGGGGTGAGGTCTCTGTGTGTGTGCGTGTGTGTGTGTTAACCATTATCTTTTGATCATCATGACCAATGAAACATTGACTCCGCGTCTCTAGTTTTTTATTTCCTCAATTTGTCCTTTCGGTGATTATCCTCGAAATTCGACCTTCGCCCACCTGACAATAGACGACCTGAATTTTGCCATCAGAGCAAACATCGTGTTGAATCACGCCAGCCCTTGGCATGATGTAAAGGTTGTTTATTTGTTTATTTTTTCAATTTTTTAACCCCCCTCGGGAGCTGTCCTTTAGCACCGAATTGATGGGAAAGAACAGCCGAGTCCTCCTTTATGTGGACTGACTTTCTAATAAGGTCCCTAAGATGCTTTATAAGAAGAAAGTTGTCTTAGTCTGTTCAGGCTGATGTAGCAAAGTATCCAAGACAGAAGAATTTATAAACAATAGGCATTTATTGCTCACGGGTTTGGAGGCTGGAAAGTCCAAGGTCAAGGTGCCAATAGATTCCATACCTGGTGAGGGCTCAATCTCTGCTTCAGAGACCAGGCCTTCTTTCTTAGTTCTGACATGGCAGGAAAAAAGGGGCAAAGAGCTTCCTCAGGCCTCTTTTATAAGGCACTAATCCCTTTGATGGGGGTGGAGCCCTCATGACCTAATCACCCCCTACAAGTCCTCTCTCTTAATGCCATAGTATTGGGGGTTAGGTTTCACCATAAGAATCTGTTGGAGACACCAACATTCAGACCATAGCATAGAAATCCTCAGCATTTAGGGGTCTGGGATTCTAGGTGGGCCACAAAATGTAACCAAGAACACAAAGTGTTTATTAGTGAAAGGCAGAGGGGACATTCAGATGCAGCAGTCTTGGTCTCCAAGACACTGAACCATGGCCAGGAAAGAAGCTTGGTTCTTCCTCTCCTGCACACAGGCACGGGGGTGGGGATCCCCTGTGGAAAGCAGGTCCCGGGGCAGCTTCCCACCCTGCCCTGCAGACCGTGTAGTTTTTTATAGCTTTGCAAATAAACTTTTGGTATTGCTAGTTCCCCCCACCACCACCAGTGTACTGCAATTTATTTATCTATTTATTTATTTATTTTGAGACAGAGTCTCACTATGTCACCCCTGATGGAGTGCTATGGCATCACAGCTCACAGCAACCTCAAATTCCTAGGCTCAAGCGATCTTCTTACCGCAGCCTCTCAAGTAGCTGGGACTATAGGTGCCTGCCACAACACCCAGCTATCTTTTTTGTTGGTGCAGTTGTTGTTTAGCAGGCCTGGGCCGGGTTCGAATCTGCCAGCCCCGGTGTATGTGGCTGGCGCCTTAACCACTGGGCTACACTGAGCTAATTACAGTGAACTAATTACAGGGTCCGGTAATTTAGCTTTATTTTAAGAGAAGATCACAGGAGGGACAGAAGATGATAATAATTTCAAAGGTGATGAGAATGGCAGCTCGCTTAGCACCCACTAGATGCCTGACAATTTTCTGGGACCTGAATTTGGTGGTTTCCTCCAGAGTTTGTAGTCTTAGCTACTTCCCAACACTGCTTCAGGTGCCTTTGAAGTAGGCTTGTAAGGACCAGAGCAGGGTCCCCCAAACTGTGGGCTGTGACTCATTGGATCTTGGGAGCAACTTAGTGGGACCCAGAATAGAAAACAAAACATCAGAATGCCTCAGGGTGATCGTGGAGGTGTTGTTCCCTGGAAATTGTGTTTCTATTTTATATTTTGTGTATGTACGGACTGATCACAACACAAAAAACATATGTATGTATTTCATACTGGGGGTGGTAGTTGAAAGTCTTTAAAGTCACTGCTTTAGAATAAGCATGAGGACAGAGCCAGGACATCCAGGATGCAGCCCTGGGGGCTTTAGGAAGCTGCTGTGTTTGAGAAAGTGAGAGGCTGCAGCCAGAGTGAAAGCTCTGTTCAAGAACCAGCTTTTTTTCTTAAACAGAGACAAGAGAACAAAAGGCCTCAAGAGTCTATTTTCACAAATTTACCCCATCAACGTCTCTGTCCTCCCACTGGAATGCCCAAGGCTGGGAGGAGGCCCATTCCCGCCGTTGTCTTTCATCTCATTGCTGCACTTGGCCATTCATCCCCTGACCAGCTGCTAAACCAATAAACCCACTGACTTAGACTCCTACCCTCTGCACAGGGAGTTGCCTTGTTGAGCTGCCTCTCCCCACCTGGGTGAATGAATGAATTCCTGCTCATTCTTTAAAACTTATCTCAGACATCAAGTTCCCTGACTGACTCTGCCTGTCTTTCTATATTTCTTATATGCTGTGATTACTGTGTAGTTGTTTATTTACCAATCCCTCTCATCTGTTAGTGTCCTCACGCCTTGAAAACAGAAACCAGTTTTATTGCTCTTCGTGTCCCTGGGAGTCCTGGCTCCACCATTTCTAGTTAGGGTAGGATTAGCAGTGGCAATCCCACGGAAAGAAGGGCCAGGGGACTTGTCTAGAACCTTCCTTTGTACACCGCTTTACTTAAACATTGTCTTTAAGATGGAGAATGGAGATACTACGATTATGCAGGTGCCTAAAACAGGCCTCCAAGAAAACTAAAGCCCTCCTCCAAGACAGCCTGGGCCCCCCTAATCCCCAGCACAGGCCAGCGCTAAAAGCTGGAAACTCCAATTATATGCTCAGCATGGGTTAGCTTCCAAGCATTAAAAAGCAATTCCTGCGTTAAAAGATTTTATAAACCGGTTGGGGCACACATGAAACTATCAAGGCAAAGGTTCTTAAACCTTCAATTTACATCAAAATCCCTCTGAGAGCTTGTTAAGTATAGATTTCTTTGGTTTAGATGTTTGTAAATGAAAGTAATCAACCAGACTTCTAGCATCTTTTGAGGGCACTGCCCTGCAGCCCACATTTTAGAAAGCTATTTCCCAGGGTTTTCCCCTCTCTTTCTAAGATTTAACTGAAGGCAGGAAAGCTGACTCCAAGCCCTCTCCCCGAGAAGAGTTGTACAGCCTCGAGGAGAACAGAGAGGGTCCTGAAGACCTGCCAATACATCCTCTATTCATGTTCCACTGTTTAAAACGGCACTCCACTGTTTGCTTGTAGGAGTTGGGCATAAGCTCTGCTCGGTCTCTTGGGGTCTCATGATGTTGCAATCAGGTGTGGGTCAGGCTGGGCCTGGAGGTTGTGGGAGAGAATCCACCACTTCCAAGCCGGCCCAGTTCCTTCCCATTGTAGGTATTCTTTCCGGGGTTCTTTCTGACTGCAGCTGGGGCACGCTCTGTGCTCCCCCAGGTCCAGTGTTCTTGCTGATGTGGGTTTTCCACCTCCAGGCTAGCGAGGGCTCATCCACGCCTTCCTATGCTTCGAGTCCTTTGACTCTCCCATCGGAGAATTTGCCGGTAGGTTCGGGATGATATTTTTCATTGTGATAAGAATGGAAGTTAATTACTTCCATTACCAGTCTGGGTAATCATGCTGTATTAGGTTTCTGGAAATGTGGAGAATCTGCAGCAAGGAGACATGAGTGTTCACCTTGCCCGCATTGCACGTCAAAGAGGCCAAGAGCTTGCAGGACAGACTTACGTCCACCAGGTGGCGCTCTGGATGTTTCCATTTTCGTCCACCAGGTGGCGCTCTGGCTGTTTCCATTTTGGGAGCTTCAGCAATCCTGCAAAGATGAATATTTTGACAAGAGATTGCTACACCAGAGCCCTTACAATTGGTAATCGGGATGGCGTTGCTATGGTGATGGGAGGATCTTGGTGTGTTTATGGCTTTGCGAGAGCCAATGTCTATGAGCTATCCGATTATTTCTTTCATTGCAGGCATAAAAAGATCGTGAGAGTCTGGTGAAATTATGCAAATTACAGTGGTCACTATTTATATTCTATGATTTATAGGCTATTGCTGGAGTTTCAAGAGTGACAGAACATATTTCTTTTAACACGTTTATCTTATTCTATGTTGGATTTTTGCCATTTTCTGTATATGTTTTATCTGCAACACAAGCATCTCTCAATGTGGTTTTCATAAGAAGGCTCTATGAAGAAATGTTCCATTGGTCTCACGAATCTGAGATAGAGTCTAATGCTTTTGGAGATTCACCACCCAGAGCACCATAGTCAAATCCACGGAAAGTCTTGTTTTATTTGCAAAAATTCATATGAAAGTTTAACCCATTTTAGTAGAACATTCATAAACACAGAAGGAATCGATCTTCATTTTGTTCCTAAAATGTTAATAAATATCCCATTAAAAATAACTTCACTTGTAGTTTAATATGTTTATTCATGTCTCCCCAACAAGATGGCGAGTTTCTTTCTTTTGCACTAATCTAGCAAAGGCTCAAAACAAAATGGAAACTCAGTGAATATTAATGGTTATTTATCGGCTCCTAAGAAATATTTTTCAATTGAATTATCTATCCATGAATAACAATTATTGCAATTATTTTTTATAAATGGTCCTTAATGATAAGTTTGAGTGGGCAAATGAATCCAATATCTAAGACATGGGCCATAGCATTAATAATACATCATTTGTAACTTTGCATAAGAGGACTGTCACCACACCCATGAAAAAGGAACAAAGATTGAATCACGTTTGCATCGAGTTCCCATTCATTTTCTATCTTATCTCACGTTCTCCAATATTTTAAGATCAATATGTTGCTAGTAATTTTTCAGAAAGGCACATTTCACCTTGTGAATAATCAATTTGTGATTGATCATAAAACATAAACCCATAAAAAACCACGGAAATGAAAAGGCACTGAGTATTTGCTAATACTCAGTCACCTCTGCTAACATTTTAACATGTGATGTGGGATTTAATGTGATTCTGGTTTTCTGTGTGTTTGGACCTCCTCCTGCTGCAAAAGAACAAGAACTGTGTCACCTAGGTGGGAAGGCTCTTTGTCAAAACCCGCGTGTTAGGACACAAACCAGAAGGCATCATTTCCTTTGGGTTATGTCATGCTTCCATGGATGGGGCTTCTCCTTCAAATAGTGCAACCTCTGCTTTGGATTTAAACAGACCTCAGCTCAAAAGAAAATAAAGAAAAAAATTTTTTATTAAATCATAGCTGTGTACATTAATGCAATCATA